AGTGTCCTCTTTCCAATGAACCAACCCGTTTTGAAAAATAACTTTTAGTTTTTGAGAAAACAATATTTGAAGTTTTGATAAAATTTTCGATGTTGCAATTTTCATCGATAATTTTCTAAATTCGCTATAAAATTAATTTCTTGAAGGATCCTTGTGGAATTATAACCAATTATCGATTAAAGTATCCTCTTTTTAATGCAAAAAGCCGTTTTGAAAAATCGCTTTTAGTTCTTGAGAAATAAACTTTTAAAATAATCGCCAATGTTTTGAATTTTGCAATTTTCGCCGATTAAGTTTAAAAAATTCGTATAAAATCCATTTCTTGGAATAGGAGTATGAAAATTTCCCAAAGTGTTAATAAGAGTGTCCTCTTTCCAATGAACTAACGCGTTTTGAAAAATAACTTTTAGTTTTTGAGAAAACAATTTTGAAGTTTTGATAAAATTTTCGATGTTGCAATTTTCATCGATAATTTTCAAAATTTGCTATAAAATTCATTTTTTGAAGGATCCTTGTGGAAATATCACCAATTATTAATTAAAGTATCCTCTTTCCTTTTTTTTCTTCAAAAAAGTTCATACAAATAAGTTGACTTATCTTATCAGCTTTCTTATTAATTTCATTTTTATTCAAATATCGCAATAATGTGGCAATGTAGGGCATCAATTCAGAAATGTACCAGAAATTATAACCACAATGGCCGGATCTCTTCGCAAAATCACTATCCGTTCCATCACTAATCTATTGCTTGTTGAAAACAAGATAATACTTGTAAAAGACTAAATATTGTAAGCAAAAGGCTATTATACTGTTGGCAGAAGACAAGTAAATCCCAAGGGAAGTCTATTCTTATAGAAGACTACATTTTTGTTTATACCTTAACGATATAGAATTAATGATAAATCAATTATCTTGGAGTGAAGTATAAAACTAAGGCAAAATCGTATTCATGCACTTACCGTATCAAGAAATTCTGTGAATTTTGAGATATAATACCAATAACAACCTCGTACCATCTAAAAATTAAAAAAAGAATTTAAATAATTTTTTAAATTCTAATTTATTTATTGCTTTGATTTACCCTTAAAGCTAATGGATTATTAGAATAATCCACCGGTTGACATTTATAACTATAGTGACTAAACCAGCCACTAACGCAAGACTGTAAAATAAATAAAGAATAGAACAAATAAAGTTAAAAAAATAATTTTTACCTCATAAAATAACCATGTACTAAAAACAACCTGAAATAAATTATAAAAAATGATCGTTTTTCTTAGGTTGAAAGGTTTTCGATTTTCCATTAACATCGGACCAAGAACCTTCACTATGTACGCATAAGACAAGCATATTATCATCGTAGGAAATGGAGAGTCCATTAAAAAGTATCCTTTTACGCGTTGATCTAGAAAAAAAAAAGTTTAAAAGATTGCCATATTTAACATTGACATTTTTAATATTTTTAATAAACGCGTACATAACAAAAACTCCTCAAATACTATAATTAACATACATCGTATCTACTATTAATATAATTTTAGAAAATTATCCCTCCAAGTGAAAAAAGTCAATGTCAAAATACTTTAGTTTTTAAACCAATGTCAATATTGAGTAAGATTTGGTTTTTAAAGAGGTTCAAATTGACAAATATCTTTCGAGGATAACTTTAATATTTGCGTATCTCGTTTTCGTAACGTTTCACTTTACTTTGAAAAAAATATTTTTTTTAATCTCTCTAAATAAAATCAAAACAAACAATTTTCTTTTTTAACTTACCGCTTTTATTGTCCATCACATCATGGTAAACGTGTACAATCTGCCCGACCACGCTGGCCATTTTTAATCTTTTCTAAACCTAAAAAAAAAAATAACGAAAATATAAATTAATAAAAAGAAAACAATGAAATAAAAGAATTATAGATTTATTATTGCATTGAGTAAGAATGAAAAGTAAAAGTGGTTTTCGCATCGTTTCTAATAATCGCATATTGAAAAAGAGCCTTGAACGACCTTGACATAGAAAGAGGTTCAACTCGGCAGGAATCGAGTAAGAGAAAGATCTTTAACTCGATTTTAACGAAATTAATCGAGAAAAAAATTTTCTTTTTAATTTAATGCTTTAAATTAAAGTAAATATTAAATTTTGTGAATTTTGGTTTAGACTAAAATAATTTTTCGTATGATTTAAGCATAAATTAATTAATTTTCGTAAAGAAAACGACGTTTTATAAAACTGACACTTAATTTTGACAAATTTTTGTGAAGTGGGTTACAGTTAGTAACATTGAATTTGTGTCACATTGACGTTTAACCTTTATTCAAAAATTTATTTAGAAAATAAATTTATCGAATCAATTTCTATAGTCGTGGACAAAGTATAGTATTCTACTCGCATATAATGAGCTATTATTCACTCAGGTTAATTCGTGAACCTTACGTTAACCTTCGTGAATAATAGCCCTCATTATATGCTCATATAATAATATACTATTTTTGATTAGTAGGCCGTGTCAGAACTGTGGAATAATGGCTTCATTATTCAACACTTTGTCAGTCATGGGTAATGCGTGTCATTACCCGTCAAAAATCAATTGTATAACGAATAGATAATTCAATAGTTGTAGATAAAATATAATACTCCTATATAACAAAAAATATAATATATTATTATACATATAAAATATAATAAATACTATACTAATCTAATTGGGGAGAATTTTATAAGGTCCATGATACCATCAAATATTATCAGTATTTTGTATAATACCCATTATTCTTCATGCAACATTGCAATCTAGTGGATATCAAATTTACTAATCTTTCGCATACATCTGTAATGTTGCGGCGCAGATTATCCACGTTGCGAATCGGAAAGTTGGCATATTTATTGAACTGTTTTTCCACCAAAGCCCATAGATTTTCTATTGGGTTAAGATCAGGTGACCGCGCTTGCCAGAGTATTCGCCTAACCTCATTATGATCGTAAAACCAATCATGAACAATTCTTGACGAATTCACGGGTGAGTTGTCTTGGACAATCATGATGATCCCTTCTAGGTACAAGGTTCTTACTGATGCTATCAAAACATCCTCCAGCACTCGATTGTATTCAATCGAATTAAATCCTTGATAATTGTGGACGTTGTAAAAGGATTGGCGGTGACGTATTCAATAATTCCCGTTCGTTGAGCATTATTAAGAATAAGTCTTCGGCCTGATCTAGATGTTGTAAGGCCAACTTTGAAGCCAAATTTGAAGGAGAGTTTCATAAAGCTTTATTTATAAGTTTTATATTATATTAATTATATTACTCAGATTTTTATCTGACGTTGTATTTATAGAAATACTCTAAAATCATTTATTAGAGGAACACATAAAAAATCGTGTATTTGTTGTTCTTAAAAATATCAAAAAAAATTTCAAATAAAATAAAATTAACACATTTAAAAAAAGGGTGATCCATTCTTCGGCCCACTTCACACTGGGACGGTTTTACCTGGGTTAAGGAAGAGGGTAACTTCCTTTAGTCTCAGAAATCGAATTGAATAGAAACAAAAGATGTCTCCGTCTTCTTCCAGTACCAGCGTNCAGAGTATTCGCCTAACCTCATTATGATCGTAAAACCAATCATGAACAATTCTTGACGAATGCACGGGTGAGTTGTCTTGGACAATCATGATGATCCCTTCTGGATACAAGTTTCTTACTGATGGTATCAAAACATCCTCCAGCACTCGATTGTATTCAATCGAATTAAATCCTTGATAATTGTGGACGTATTCAATAATTCCCGTTCGTTGAGCATTATTAAGAATAAGCCTTCGGCCTGATCTAGATGTTGTAAGGCCAACTTTGAAGCCAAATTTGAAGGAGAGTTTCATAAAGCTTTATTTATAAGTTTTATATTATATTAATTATATTACTGAGATTTTTATCTGACGTTGTATTTATAGAAATACTCTAAAATCATTTATTAGAGGAACACATAAAAAATCGTGTATTTGTTGTTCTTAAAAATATCAAAAAAAATTTCAAATAAAATAAAATTAACACATTTAAAAAAAGGGTGATCCATTCTTCGGCCCACTTCACACTGGGACGGTTTTACCTGGGTTAAGGAAGAGGGTAACTTCCTTTAGTCTCAGAAATCGAATTGAATAGAAACAAAAGATGTCTCCGTCTTCTTCCAGTACCAGCGTCATGTCGGAGCTAACAGCGGACGATTCGCATTAAATCTGAACAGAGCTGTACAGGGTGGTTCAAATTCGATGTCCGAATAAGCATTACAATATGATGACCAGCACTATATCTAAGTCGTCGATGTCACAAATTCGACTATCTCACTTCAGCAATTTTTTATTGCACCACCCTTTCTTCCTAATTGATTAGTCAAGATAAATTTGCTAAGCTGCATTTTTAATTTCACTTATGTTAGGGGATTATAAAAACTATTTTTTAGGTCTACCTAATTTATAAACCATTATTTATCGATAATTAACGATAAAAGTGTCTTCAGTAAAAATTAAGTAAAATTTTGTGTATGATTTTATGGATCTATTAAGTTTAATAGTTTGTTGAGTGCTTTTCAACTTTTAATCGTTTGACTTCAGGTAATAAAATAAAATTGCAATGTTGCAATTAATAAAGGTTACAAAATTATTTAGTATCTTTCACAATTAAATAAAATATAATAATTAAAGTTGCCTAATTGTTAATGAGATATTTTTATTTTTTTAAAGACAAAGATATTTGCTCGAAAACTGGTTCACCATGGTCCACTAATTTTGCAAACCTTCATCGATAAAATTTGCATTTTCTAATGTGTCGATTACATTCTAATAAATAAATTTTCAAATTCAAACAATATATAATAAATCCTAATTAAATCCGACCTACATTTTCAAACATAATTTTCCTAATCAATTTCAAACACATCCTTTTCAATCTTCACCTCTCAAGATAATAATAATAATTCATTGAAGTTACCGTTTTCTTTCACCGTCTTTTTCTCAACATACATAGAGGAGAGGTCGTTTTAAGCTTTCTTCAGTTCTCCACTCTACTATACTTTTATTGACACTTGTTTGGTTTTCCGAAAAGAAACTTTTCTGACCTGGTTTTAAAAGAAAAATATCTACTAAAAAGAACTAGAAACATAGTAAGCGCCCGAAAGAGAGAGAGAGAAAAAGATTTAAACTATGCAAAAACTGTGCCGTATGATTTCTTCGGTTTTGTTATTGTCTCGGTTGTGCTGCGTTTGAAAATCTTTTTTTATGTTATATAACCAAAGAGACGGCGCGCAACATTTAAAATGACTCCAAAGTATGTCATATTGAAAATGGAAAGTGTTATACGCTCTTAAGGCTTCTAGTAAATCGAAGAGTCAGGTTGTAAAAGTTATTTCAAATTCCATCTCAATTTTTTGTTACTAATTCGTTTTTTTATCGCTTAATTAAATTTCAAAAGTTAAATATTTATATTTAAATTACACAAGATATATATTGAGGCTTTTCGGAGAAGAAATGGGGAAGTGGTCACAAGAAAACACAAATAACAAACGAATTTGTGGTGGTTTAATGGTCAACTTTCGCACAGAGGGAAATTTGAATTACTTAAACTCTTTAAAACCACTTTTTCTCGTAGAAATCAACGTTTACGCAATTTTATTCTCATTTTTCAAAAATAACATTTGAAATTAATTGACACACGAAAAATGTATCCGTTAGGTATATTACTAGATATAACATTTATATATATACACACGTAATACCAAGACATATGATTTAATACTTTAATTTTAGTTGCCACTCTTTCTATATTTCTTCATCTAAACTGCGTTCTATAATAAATTCCTTTTCAGCTCTGTTAATTCAATACATGTACCGAGAGCTTTGAAACTGATAACTCAAAATCAGTAACAAGATCCAAGTTTTCTTGCTTATATAATTAATTAAAATTACACAAAAATTGAGTTATAGATCATTGGAATCTATTTGTATACGCACGTAAAACCTGTCCAAATAACAAAGTGAGGATCACATGAATTATTACGTAATTAATTTGCCTCGAGGGCAAATTAACGCGACTTTTAAACGCATCGTGTTTTATCTCTAGACACATGTTAGTAATTTAAATGGTAAAATGTGTCGTTTAATCACGCTAGGTAAACCATACTTTAAGAATACACATCATTTTAACATCTACAAACATAAATACGCATCTCGACAATTGTCAATTCTATGATAATCAAGAAATCAAGGTTCTAAAATCAATTCTACCTCTCTTGTTAATTATGTCATTTATTGTCTTGTCCAAAGTTTTACAAAATTTACGAAGAAAAAATTAATATGGATAATGTTTTTAATGTGTACTGAAGACAAGGAAAAACCTTAGGAAACATTAATTTGTTACTTTCAATAATAATCATTTTTAAATCAATTTCGCCCCGATTTCATAATTGACTTTCAAATTTAAAGTTTCACTTTAAAGATTTTTTATGGATGCGATTTACTACGGTAAGTGGAACTTTAAATTCTAAAATTGATTATGAAACTCCCATATACAGAGAATTTCACTCAAGATGCAATATACAAAAATACATTTGTACCAAACTTACATACATTTTCGTATAACCTAAAAGTGTCACAATAGATGTAAATTTAAAAATTCCTGGAAGCCGTATTTATTGAAATTAAGGAATGAGACTTATTCTAAATTAAAGCTAAAAGCTTTCTCTTTAAAATGATGTATAATAACTGTTGGGTTGGATTGGAAAAATATTGAGAAAAAGAATGTTGAAACAAAACTTACATTTTCGTATAACCTAAAAGTGTCAAAAAAGATGTTAGTTTAAAA